GTGTGCACATAGGCTAAGTGGGATATTAAACAGTGGCTACTTCCAGGGTATGTGTACAGAACTGGGATATCTGGGCTCAGCTGTACATAGTGTGTATTCAAGATTCTTTGTAGTAAAAAATAGAGCTATGGGCAGGAAGAAAAAGAAGATGGCCTGGGGGAGGGGGCTGTCTGTCTCCGAGCTGCCATGTTTCTACATGTAACTCAGAGGAGTCCAATAGTTGCAAATTTGAACCTGATCCTCTAGGTCATTATAAAGTCATATTGTCAAAGTAGGGGATAGAATACTCCTTATTTAACAGTTTTTTTAGTTTGGTTTGGTTTATGACTTTTAAATATTAGATGTAAGGTACGTAAGCCTGCATTTTTACTCTAGCCCAGCCCCACAAATGTTAGAGACAGGCTTGAATAAATAAGCCTATAGATAAACTATAAATAAATAAAAATACATGTAAAAGCACTTAAAAGAACCCAATAAATATTTCCTTTGCCATGGCTGCTACATGCTACACCAGAGGTACTTGCTTTTTTTAAAAGAATTCTTCTAAATAAAGAATATATATATTACAGAAACAGTCATCTATTAAGATGAAGGAAAACATAAATACTGGACAAGAAAAAGGTTACTAATTAAAAGGTTTATTTTCAGGGCTGGCCCATGGCTCACTTGGGAGAGTGTGGTGCTGATAACACCAAGGTCACGGGTTTGGATCTCTATATAGGGATGGCCAGTTAGCTCACTTGGGATAGTGTGGTGCTAACAACACCAAGAGAAGGGTTAAGATCCCCTTACCGGTCATTGTTTTAAAAAATAAATAAATAAATACATAAAAGATCTATTTTCTTTCATTGAGCCGAAATAGCATTGAAAGGAAATTAGGAAAATTGTAGGTCCAAAGACTACCCATTGGGCTATTTGAACCCATTTCTAGCACTCTACAGTAACTCTATAGCAATTTGTTATAGTACTATATATAATATTACAAAATAAAAGTATTATTGCCTTATATTTTATAGCACTTCACAAATTTCAAAGTATTTTCACATATTATTAGCCCTTTGCTTAGTGCCTTATGCATATTAGGTCAATGATATCTGATGAAATAAATCTCATTTTAGATCCATGAGATTTCATTATAACTTCTCGTGCATTGTTTAGAAGTCAAGAGGCACTATGAGGCTTGTCAAGAAACTGGAGTTGAGCTCTGAGGGGAATTCAGTAAAAACCTGTATTTTAAAAAACATAACTGATAGAGGGGAACTTCTTCAACTTGATAAAGAACATCTACAAAAAACTTACAGCTAACATCATACTAACTTTAATAACATCATTAATAACATTAATGGTGAGAAACTGTAAGCTTTCCTGCTAAGATCAGGAACAAGGCAAGGATGTCCCCTCTCACCACTCCTTTTCAGAAAATATCATACTGGAAGTCCTAGCTAATGCAATAAAAAAAGAAAAGGAAATAAAAGGTATACAGATTGGGAAGGAAGAAATAAAACTGTCTCTGTTCACAGATGACATGATCATCTATGAAGAAATTCTGAAAGAATTGCCAAAATAACTCCTAGAACTAATAAGCAATTACAGCAAGGTTGCAGAATACAACATTAAAGTATGAAAGTCAATCAATTCATGGTGGGGTTTTGGGAAAATAAATGTACTAAAGTCAATTGCTTTCCTATATACCAGCAATAAACAGGTAGAATTTAAAATTAAAAACACAATATCATTTACTTTAGCACCACCAAAAATTAAATACTTAGGTATAAATTTAACAAAATATGTAGAAGATCTATATGAGCAAAACTACAAAACTCTGATGAAATAAATCAAAGGAGAACTAAATAAATGGAGAGATATTCCATGATCATGAATAGGAAGATTTAATATTGTTGAGTTGTCAGTTATTCCCAATATGACCTATAGATTCAACACAATCCTAATCAAAGTCCTGCAAGTTATGTTGTGGATATCGACAAACTGATACTAAAGTTTATATGAAGAGTCAAAAGACCCAGAATAGCCAATCCAATAACAAAGGAGAACAAAGTTGGAGAACTAAAACTACCCAACTTCAATACTTACTATAAAGCCACAGTAATCAAGAAAGTGCGGTATAGGCAAAAGAACGGACAAGTAGATCAATGGAACAGAATGGAGAGTCCAAAAATAGAACCACATAAATACAGTCAATGATCTTTGACAAAAGAGCAAAGACAATGCAATGAATAAAAGACAGTCTTTTCAACAAATGGTGCTAGAACTGGACATCCACATGAAAAAAAAAAAAAAAGAAAGAAAAACTAACACAGACTTTATATCTCTCATAAAAATTAACTTAAACTGCATCACAGAGCTAAATGTAAACACAAAACTATAAAATCCACAGAAGATAACATAGGAGAAAATCTAGGTGACTTGAGTATGGCAATAATTTTGCAAATACAACACCAAAGGCACAAACCATGAAAGAACTGATAAGATGAACTTCATTAAAGCTAAAAAAACTGCTCTGCAAAAGACACTGTCAAGAGAATGAGAAGACATGCCACCGACAGGGAGAAAATATTTTCAAAAGACCTGATAAAAAAACTGTTATTTAAAACTCAACAATAAGGAAACAACCCAAATAACAAACGGGCAAAAGATCTAAGCAGACACATCACCAAAGAAGATATACAGATGGCAAATAAGCATATGAAAAGATGCTCCATATCATATGTCATTAGAAAATTGAAAAGTAAAACAATGAGATTCCACTACACCTCTATTACAATTGCCAAAATCCAAAACACTGATAATACCAAATGCTTGTGAGGAAGTGGAACAATAGAAACTCTCATTCATTGCTGGTGGGAATGCAAAATGGTACAGCCTCCTTGGAAGACAGTTGGCAGTTTCTTACAAAACTAGACATACTCTTACCATATGATCCAGCAATTGCACTCCTTGATATTACCCAAATGAGCTGAAAACTTATGTTTACACATAAACCTGCACACAGATGTCTATAGTAGCGTTATAATAATTGCCAAATCTTGGGAGCAACTAAGATGTCCTTCAATGGGTGAATTGGTAACTAAACTGTGACACATCCAGATGATGGGATATTATTCAGTGCCAAAAAGAAATAAACTATGAAGCCATAAAAAGGCACTGGAAGAACTTTAAATGCATATTACTAAGTATATGAAGCCAATGTGAAAAGGTTATATAATACTATATGATTCTAACTATATGACATTCTGGAAAAGTCAAAATTATGGAGACACTAGAGAGATCAGTGGTTGCTAGTGGGTAGAGAGGGAGAAACAGGCTGAGCCTACAAGATTTTCAGGACAGTGAAACTATTCTGGTACGTTACTACAATGGTGCACACATGAAATGATGTATTTGTCAAACCCATAGAAGGCACAAGCATCAAGAGTGAATCCTGATGTACACTATGGGCTCTGGGTAATAATAATGTGTTAATGTAGGTTCATCAACTGTAACAAACTACTACTTTGGTGCAGGATACTGTGTGCAGGCAGGGGGTATATGAGAACTCTCTGTACTTTCTGTTCAATTGTGCTGTAAACCTAAAACTGCTCTAGAAAACAAAATCTATATAAAAACTCAAACAAAAAAAATGTAGCTGTTTATCATTTTTCAATACTCTACCCAGATCAAAAATAGTTGTTTCCAGTATGGATAAGAAAAAAAAACCATTGGCTGATTATTTCTAAAACTTAGCTTCCAAAAACATTTTAACTGGTCATTTAAGGCTCCCGTGGTACTGACAACACCAAGTTAAGGATTAGGATCCCCTTACTGGTCACCTTTAAAAAAGAAAAAGAAAAAAAAAAAATTCTGTTCTCAGATGACTTTCCAAGGAAGGAAAATATTATGTCATAGACAAGAAAAATACATGATACAGAAGTCACCAGGGACTAAGTCCTTAATTTCCTTCTGTCTATGGTGACTCAGGATAATATCACATACAACAAGAATTTTATATTTTCAAGCACATAGCTATTGGTTGTGAATAGACAAACCAGAGAAAGAAGTACTAATCTAGTTTTCCCTTAGTACAATCCCTTGTCAACAATACTTGAGGAAATGACTATATTTGATATGATAAAATATATACTATATTCAGTCTGTGTTCCCAAGTAATAAGTAGTACCACAAAAAGAATGTGAGAGGTATTTTATAACAGAACAATAGTCATTTTAATTTTTCAAAATTAAAACCACACGGCAAAAGCATACTCTAAGCCGAGCCTAACATGGCAGGAAGGAAGGCTGAAGGGCTGAGGTATATCAGTGCTTTGTACTCATAAATGGAACAAGTATAATAAAAGCAAATACTACTATGCTGTGTGTGATCAGTTTATACCCCTGGATTTATATATTCTTTTAAGAACATGAGCTTCTCCAAGGGCAAAAACATGTCTATGTATGTATTAGGGCAGTGTAGGGCTTTATGGTAAAAGTCATCAAATGTAAATAGCAGTTCTCAATATTGAGGATGCATCAGAATCACCAGTGCTATTTTTAAAAAACACAAATGCCTCAAACCTAACTTTTCAGATACTGATTCAGTATATCTGGTCTGAGTCTCGGCATTTATATTTTGAAAAAAGCTCCGTATCTGATTCTGCTGCACTGCCAGGGTTGAGAACTGTTGGTTTAAACTAACTTTAGATTGATAAGAAAAAAAAGGAAGCCATAAATTGAAAACCTTCCTTTAACTAAGTTATAGTGGCATATGTACACTAGCTGAAGAAATTCACTAGGATCAGATCTTTGATTTCACATCAATGTGCCCTAAATCCCAGGAGCATGAAAGAGAAGTTCATCATATCATCGTGACTCAAGCAACCTCTTTGCCTTTACCTATGGTATTTATAGTATTAGCTCTTAATGTGTTAGGACACAACACATTATGTCTAATCTCACTTACAGTATCATAGTAGAAATATTAGTCTAAAAGCAATTATAATTACATACCTCTTTCTTGTCTTCTTCTTGATCTATTCCAGACCGAAATGCCAGTAAAGCTTGGAATTCAGTGCTCATTCCTGATTGATATTCATTATACACCTGTTAGAAAGTGCACGCAAAGTGACAAAATTACCAAAAGTTAGCCCTGTGAACCTTTTCAATATTTCTATTCAATTCTTTTCTCCTGCAACCTTGAGCTCAATTGGATAAAGAACCAAAATATAAGTATAAAAGGATAAAAGCAAAAAAGAACTTTAAAAAAGCAGTTTCAGAAGGAATTAACCAAACAATAAACCAAAGAAAAGGACTTGGGTCAAAAACATGGATGAATAAATAACAAATCAAAATGTTCAGAGTGCAAACTACACATCTGACAAGTGGCTGATATCCAGAATATACAAGGAACTCAAACAACTCAATGGTAAAAAAAATAACCCAATTTAAAAATGGTCAAGGAAGCTCAATTGACATCTCTCAAAAAAAACCATACAAATGGCCAACAGGTATATGAAAAAATGTTCAACATCACTAATCACCAGGGATATGCAAATCAAAACCACACTGAATTATCATCTCACCCCAGTTAGACTGGCTATTAACAAGAAGACAGAAAATAACAAATGCTGGTGAGGATAAGGAGAAAGGGGAGTCCTTATACATTGTTGGTGGGACTGTAAATTAGTACAGCCATTACAGAAAACAGTATGGAGGTTCCTCAAAAAACTACTGATAGAACTACTGTATGACTCAGCAATCCCACTACTGGGCATATACCCAAAGGAACGGAAATCATCATGTCAAAGGGATACCTGCATCCCCACGTTCACTGCAGCTCTGTTCACCATAGTCAAGACATGGAACCAACCTGAATGTCCACTGACAGATGATTAGATAAAGAAAATGTGGTACATATACACAATAAAATACTACTCAGTCATTAAAAAGAATGAAATTCTGACATTTGCAGCAACATGGATGGGCTTGGAGAAAATTATGTTAGGTGAAATAAGCCAGGCACAGAAAAAGAAATACTACATGTCCTCACTCATATGTGAGAACTAAAAAAGAGAACAAAACAAAATAAATAATAATAATAATAATAATAAGTTGAACTGTTAAATGGAAAGAGAAAAACTGTGGTTACCAGAGGTGGGAAAGAGGAGAGGGAGAGGGAGGGTAGTAAAAGGCTGATTAACGGACGTGAAAGTACAGCAAGATAGGAAAAATTAGCCCTATTGGTGTACAGCTGACCCAGAAATCTATAATCAATAATGTTTTACTGCATGTAACCAAGTGACTAGAAGAGAGGAGATAAAAATCTGCACATCACAAAGAATGATTTTTTTGCAATGATGACTATGAAAAAGGCTAGAGAGGGGAGGGGAGATGGTAAGAGGCTGGTTAATAACAAAACCTTAGAGCCAGATAGGAAGAATAAGTCCTACTAGTGTACAGTCAACACAGGAATGCATAACTAACAACGATTTACTATATGTTACCAAATGAACAGAAGAGAGAACAAATGTGCACATCACAAAGAAATGATTGGGTTTTACAAGCATGAATATGCTGACTGCCCTGAATAGATCATCACACATTGTATACATGTACTGAGATATAACTCTGTACCCCACAAATATGTGCAATCAATATGTTTCAATAAAAAAAATTTTTAAAGTTAAAGTAAACAAAATGTTCAGAGTGAAAGTTCTTCTAAAGTGGTCACCTGAAATCACTCTGTATGAGTGTACTTGGAATTGATTCCAGGATATAAAGCCAGATACCTTAATATCTCAAATCTATAATCACTTGCAATTTATACAACTCTCTTGATGGGCATAAGTCCATAGAACAAGAGCCTAAAAATATTATGTCAATCATCCAGCAGGGTATGGAGAAAACTGGTGCTAATTTTCCCCCATATTTATTAGGAAAGCCTTACGACACAACTTGGTATACCTACTTGGACATTATATAGGTCAAAGTATGATCTCTAACTTTTATAAATAAAAAATCTAAAATTTCTTTTCTCTCTTTAGTTTAAAAGTTATCTTTCAGCAAGGTTTCAGGATACAAGATCAATGTACAAAAATCATTTGTACATTGGGCTTGCCAGTTAGCTCAGTTGGTTACAGCATGGTGTTATAGCACCAAGGTCAAAGGTTTGGATCCCTGTACCAGCCAGCTGCACCCTCCCCCCACAAAAAAATCAATTGTATTTCTATACTTGGTATGAATAATCTAGAAACAAAATTAACATAAAAAATTCCATTTATAATACCATAAAAAAAGAATAAAGCACTTAGGAATAAATTCAACAAAGGAAGTGTAAATTATATACTCTGAAACCTGCAAAACATTGTTGAAAGAAATTAACAAAGACCTAAATAAATGGAAAGGCATCCAATGTTCATGGACTGGAAGATCTAATATTGTTAAGATGGCAGTACTTCCCAAATTGATCTACAGATTTAAAGCAATCTCCATCAAAATTTCAGTTGACTTCTTTACAGATATTGATAAGATGATCTTAAAACTCCTATGAAAATGCAAGAAACCCAGAATAACTGAAACAATCTTGAAAAAGATGAACAAAATTGGAGGACTCACTCTTCACAACATCAAAACTTACTACAAAGCTATAGTAATCAAGACAGATTGTACTGGCATAAGGATAGACATATGAGATCAATGGAATGGAATTGAGAGTTTAGATATAAACACCATCAACTGACTTTTGACAAGAATATCAGAACAATTCAATTGAGAAAGAACAGTCTTTTTAACAAATGGTGATGGGACACTGGTTATCCACACGCAAAAGAATGAAGTTGGACCATTTCCTCATACCATATACTAAAATTAATTCAAAGTGTACTATAGATCTAAACGTAAGAGCTATAAAATTCTTTGAAGAACACACCAGGAGTAAATATTCGGAACTTGGATTCAGGTGACAGTTTCTTAGATATGACACCAAATGCACAAACTACAAAAGAAAAAAAGATAACTAAGACTTCATCAAAATTAAAAACGACTCCTGTGTTGCAAAGGAAACCATCAAGAAAGTGAAAGGACAACCCACAGAATGGGAAACATTTGCAAATCAAATGTCTGATAAGGGACCTGTATGTAGGACATATTAAGAACACTCAATAATCAAAACACAAATAACTCAATTACAAAATGGGCAAACTAAATATAGACAGTTTTCCAAAGAAGACACACAAATGGTCAATAAGCACATGAAAAAGTGCTCAACATCATTAGCCATCAAGAAAATGCAAATCGTGTAGTGAGATAACACTTCACACCCACTTGGATGCAATAATTAAAAATACAGATAATAACGAGTGTTGGTGAGGATGTGGAAAAATTTGAACTCTCACACACTGCTAGTAGAAATGAAAAATTATACAGCAACTTTGGAAATTATTTTGGCAGTTCCCCAAAAGGTTAAGCACAGAGTTATCATATGTCCTAGCAATTTCAATATAAGGTATATACCCAAGAGAAATGAAAAATATGCCCACAGAAAAACGTGCAACAAATGTTCATTCATAGCAGCATTATTCATGATAGCCAAAAAGCAGAAACAAGCCAAAATCCATCAGTTCATGAATGGATAAATAAAATGTGCTATATGCATAAAATGGAATATTATTTGACAATCAATAAAATGAAGTATTGCTATATGCTCCAACATCAATGAACTTTGAAAACATTATACTAAGTGAAAGAAGCCAGTCACAAAAGACTGCATATCACATGATCCCATTTATATGAAATGTCCAGTATAGGCAAATCTATAGAGACAGAAAATAGCTTAGTGGTTGCCTAGGGCTGGAGGTGGGGCTAAGAGGAAAAGGGGAATGGCTGCTAATTGATACAAGACTTTTTGAGGTAATGAAAATGTTCTCAAATTGATTGTGATGATATTTGTACAACCCTGTAAATATACTAAAAACACTGAATTACACACTTTAAATGTTAATTGTATGATATGTGAATTACAATCCTCATTTGCATATTCCATATTTAAAAATCTGCCTAGTCACTAAAATTTATGTGTAACCCCAATACTCACAGTGCTTTTATAGTCCTTTACAGATATGTGCAGAGCTATGAAAAATTTGAGTCACCCAACATGCATGTTGCCAGCTGCAACTGAACACAGCAATGTTCTCTGCCTTTTTGTTTCAGCTCTCACACTATAAATGTGTCCTTTCTGCAGTCTATTTAGTGCCAAATTTTTTGCATTTCTGTACTTTTTGTTGGTGATTTCAGTGTTTAAAATTGCCCCCAAGCATAATGCTGAAGTACTATCGATTATTTCTAAGTACGAAAAGGCTGTGATGTGCCTTACAGAGAAAATGTGTGTTAGATAAGCTTCATTCAGGCATGAGTTACAGCGCTGTTAGCTCTGAGTTCGATGTGAATGCATCAACCATATATATTTTTTAAAGTGTCTTCAGACAGAAATAGACATAAAACAAGGTTATGCATTGATTGACAAAAATGTTGTATGTGACCAGAGGCTTGCAGGAATCTAACCCTGTATCTCCCCTAGAATTTGCCAATTCAGTGTTTGTGGCAATTTCACAGAAAATAGCTACTGTAAATAACAAGAATCGACTGTATATCTGAATAAGGATATTTTTAAAGGTTTTTATTTATTTGTTGTGATATATAAAACCACAAACTGATAAATAGCAAAATGCTCATGAGGATTACTCTGAAAGTTTTGGTTATTTTTTTTATTTGTGTTTATCTTTTCTACAATAAAAATAAAATTATTTTCTGTTCTTGATAAACTAAGAAAAATTGGATTTCCAGTACTGGCAAAAGAGGAACCCCACTATGGCCTCTCTCTCTTGCTTGCTCATTGACTGTAACTAAAAACTCTGAGAATTGCAACCCCTGGGCTTTGGAGAGTGTAGGAGGTATCCTGAAGAGGAGTGACCTGGAAAAGTAGATCCCTTAATTCTGTGTACGAACTGGCACATAGCCCAGACTCACCCCTGAGCTGTGCAGGCATGGGACAGACTTACAGGAGTATAAAGAAGGCTTGAAAACTGAACTAACATTGTACCCCTGTT